TTGACTTTGCACATAAGATTACTGACATTGTGTTTCATCATCATCATACTTCGTTAACCCTGTCCTGTTGCTGGATGTCTAGGCTGTTTCCCGTGCCTTGTGATTAATAAACCATTGTATGAACAGACACACTTTCCAGCTCCTTGTTGTTTTTTTTAAGATTTATTTTTATTTATTTATTTAAACAAGAACTGGGGTGTAGGCCAGAGGTTCAAGGGGAATAGGGTGGTGAGAGGATCCACCAGAGACAGAGTGGGGAGCAGAACAGGTGGATCTACTGAAAAACACTGTTGAGGGGAGCAGCGGGCGAATCAGGAGGGGTCTGCTGTGCCATGTCGGTCGGCCCCCTGGCCAGGGTTCGAACTCATGCCCCAGTGGCTGGTGATAGCTTGATAGCGCTGAGACTTAAACCCCTGCACCACCAGGGAAGCCCACCAGCTCCCTCGGTTTTTAGAGCCAGCCAGGTGGGGTGGCCTGCACAGGGTACTGAGTGGTCGAGGCAGCCTCCCACCCAAGCCTCCTGACCCCCAGCCCCTGAGTTCCTTCCTCCCGCCTGCACAGACCTTTCTTCTGGGCAGCTCTTCCGTCCCTTTCATGCTTTTCTTTGCGCGACTACGCGCCTTCTGCAGTGTTCCCACATGTCTTTTGGAGCTTGAGAGAACTCCTTTTGGAATGTCCTGTGCCTTCTCCCTCAGAGTTCCCGGCTTTGTTCAATTGTTCATGAGAAATTCCTGCCCTGTTGGGAGGGGCCCGGAGGGCTGTTAAGAGAATTTGCCAAAAATGGTGGTACCAGCTCAGGCATAGCACATGTCTGAGGCTCTTTGCTCTTCCTGAGATTTCAACTTAAAAGGTGCCAGCGTGGATGCATGGGGTGGAGGAGGGTGGGGTGCTCCATTCTTAGTTAGAAGTTTCCCTTGTGGAGTAAGTAGACCAGCCTTGTGTAGACAGAAAAGACAGTACTGGCGAAAGTGGGTTTCAGGAATGGGGTGAGGGGCGGGCTGGGCTAAGGCTCAGAGGGTATGTTTGGAGGTGAGGAAAGGTTAGTGGTGGAGGGAGGGCAGGAAATAGGATGAGTGCAACTCTCCCGCAAGCACCTTGGTGATATTAAAGGCGCATTTATTTTCTAAAGCATAGATAGTGATACCAAGTTATCTGTTTGAAAAGGGCAACATTGGATTTCACAAATTTTAAAAATCATTCTAAAATCATGCCCTTAGACCCAGAATCACCCAGTGATGCAGGGACCAATGGACTGGGCAACGAAGACCATAGGTGACCTTGAGGAAATGTCTCTCTTTGCTTATTTCTCTCTTTTTTTAAGATTTATTTTTTATTTATACAGTTGCTGGGGTATATAAGCCAGAGGCACACGAGGGTGAGAGGATTCACCAGAGACAGAGCGGGGAGCAGAACAAGCAGACAGACTGAAAGCACTGCTGAGGGGAGCAGCGGGGGAGACAGGAGAGGTCTGCTGCGCCATGTGGGAATCTCCCTGGCTGGCCGGGAATCGAACCCTCACCGTGGAGGCTGCGGACAGCTTCACAGCACTGCGTTCAACCTGCTGCGCCACCAGGGAGGCCCTCTCTTTGCGTATTTCTTGGGAAGAACTTATGCCAGGTTATTGCTGCCCTGTTCAGAATGCTGGTGTTGGGGCAACCCAAACCTCCCAAGTTAGACACGAGCCTTGCTATGTCTACTTCACTGCATATCTTGGAGATCAAGATCAACCCCTTTCTTTTGGAATTCCTCAATAAAAACTGCAAAAGAAACCACACTTAAAAAAAAAATTAAGAAACCACGCTTTTGGTGGAAAGGGCATTGGTTGACGTTCAGACCCCTGGGTCAGAATCCCAACCCAGGATTCATGGACATGTCTCACTCTAAGACTCAGTGTCTGCCCCCCACCCCTTGCCCCATGAAAAATGGAAACTAAAACTTAAGCATCCAGGGACCTAAGGGCTGAGCCCATGTGTCAGACCTTGGCAGCAAGCCTGGCACACAGCATGGGTGCCCCATAAATGACGTACCTCTGCAGGCGTGAAGGACTTTCCTTGGCTACCCCCAGCCGCGGGGACACCTAGCTGCTTCTGTACACAAGGTGGCCAGCACAGCAGGCTGTGGCATTGTTCTGCAGTCCGCATGCTGTTTCCTGTTTACATGGCCCCTGCAGATGCATGACTCAAACAGTGGACATAGGGGCCTTCCTGTGGCCTCTGCATAGCTACACATAAGCAGAGGGTCTTTTCTAACTAACAGCTTTATTTTCTCTGGATTTGGGCTAAATGATCGGTGGAAGGGATTCGTTCATAAGCAATGAGTATCTACTCTGAGTAGTAATTTGGACCAAGCACAGAGATCCTGTCCCTGAAATTACAAGCCCATCTCCAACCAAGAGTCAAACATCATTCCAGCACCTACTATGCTATTATGTTCCGTCATGATATCTAACATGCATTGAGCACCCACTGTGTGCATTTATGGAGCACCTACTACTTACAAGATATTGTAAACATGAAGAGCATTATTATTGTGCATCCACTCTGCACACAGAGCTGCTGCGTTTGATACACTGTAAGCACCTTTATCATAATCACTTGCACGTGACCTCTCTCTATTCCTCAGTTTCCTCATCTTTAATTACGGACAAAAGGGGCTTCCTTAAAGGCTTGTATTAAAGATTAAATGAGTTAATACAAACAATGCACTTAAAATAATGCCTGTTGTTTACTTAAGAGTATAATAGATGTTGACTGCCATCCCTGATAGTTACTGAACTATTGCATGTGAGACATGATAGTCACTTTAATATCATGGTAGTTACTGTTGGTGAGCACATACTGGGTACAAGGCCCTGTAATCAACATCAATGTAATAAATGAACCCCTATTGTGAACTGGCCTAGATACTGGAGACTTGAGAGCAAGGGTCTCGCTCTCTGATTAGGGGAAGTGGTACTGTTTTGGAGTTGGGTGTCTCCAGGAGAGTCAGGGGTGAGATTCTTAGGCAAATATGACCTAGAGCAGGAATGGTATAGCTTTGAGTGGCCAGAAAATGGGTCTGGGGATCAGGATACTCTGGAATTATTTCTTGAGCTGGGCCAAAATGGTTTCTAACAAGCTATATTCTTGTGAATATTCATCTGAGCAATGGGTTACTGGGGGGCTAACCCCCTCCAACAAAGGCCAGGTCTTCATGACAAGGGAAGGGATTCAAGAGATAGAGAAAGGAGCATGTTCTACAATTGAGCTTAGGACCCAGGGAGGATCTCCCTTGTCCTCCAGAGATGGAAATAAATGAAAAGAGGGTGAATTCAGTGGGCTAGGTGTTCAGTACACCCCTCTTTCCTCCTGCCCTGGGACCATCGTGGTGATCTCATGGTGGGTATGTTCAGGCATGTTGTCTTCTCTACTCAGCCATGGGGTTTGGCCTTGGTAGGCCATTGCCTCCAAGAGCCATTGAACCTTGTGGATCTCTGGGTTCTGCATTATTTCAATGCCAGCCCCATTCTACACTCTGAGCTGCTATTTGCCCTCCAACTGCCAAGGAGTCAGGAGCTCTCCATCAAGAAAGACATGGGCTTGAAGTTCACAGTCACACAGAAATGGGTCCTGAGGCCTGAAATGGCCCTGAGCATCCTGGAAGATGGCTCAGGACTCAGGAGTTCTGGGGAGGGTGGGGGTTGGGGGGTGGAGGGCACTCTCAATATTCAACTCACAAAACTCCAGGTCTGGGAGGAGGAGAGACTCAGAAATAACAGATTCCAGGGCCCGGAGAAGCTGTTAGCCCGTGAAGTTATTAGCTCCACTCATATTGGAATAGTGGGACCAGGCTGGAGATCATCAAAGCTACCCCATTCATGGTACAGAAGGGGACAGACAGCTCTAAGAGGATGAGTGGTGCACCCAAGCTCTCAGGGCAAGTGAGTGGCAGAACTAGGCTGCCAGCGCACCTCCTCTGCCAGCAGGACGGTGCATAGCTGGGTGCCTGGTGCGGCAGCCTTTACGGAACCACATCAGCTAAGTCTCTAAGCTTTAGAGACCTCGGTGGCCCATGAAATAATTTCTCAGAACTTCCTGGCAAGAAATTCAGGTCCACTGCCTTCTGACCCTTCTTGGCCTCCCCTGGTCTAGACAGAACCACTCTCTTCAGAGATTTCCCTTCCAGGAAGGCCCCCAGCACCCACCATCTGTAACTATTCCCTAGGCCTCTCAACTGTCATCAGGGTGTGTCTCTACCACCACCAGGCTCTCATCCTGTATAGTCATCATTGTTACTATTACTTTTCTCTTTCTGCTCACATGGGACTGTGCTAAAATCAACAATCCCCCAAAATAGAAAAGTATGGCTAAAGATCAGGAATGGACAGCCAGTCTCTCTCTTTACCAAAGCAAAGAAAGCCAGGAACCTCCCCAGTGACACTTTCAAGATAGAAACCAGAGCTTCCAAACTCAGACCCGTGGGCTTCACATTGTACTCACAAGTATTTTCAGTGCCCAGAGTGCTGTGACATTCTGAACTTGGCCACTAACATATAAAAATCTGATTTCTGACTCCTTTTGAAAAGGCAACCATCCATTTGAAAGCAAGGTTACCTCCAGGTAGTCCCTCTCCCTTTAGCCACAGTCCCCACCACTCCCCCAGCCCGATTCACTCAGTAACTGTTACCTCCTGGGCCAACGGTTGAGTTTAGAATTCCCAGTCTAGGGCCTCCCTGGTGGCGCAGGCGGTTGAGCACAGCGCTGTGAAGCTGTCCGCAGCCGCTGCAGTGCTGGTTCGATCCCCTCCGGCCTCGGAGCAACCCACACGGCAAGCAGACCTCTCCTGTCTCGCCCGCTGCTCCCCTCAGCAGTGCATTTTGGTACCACTTTCTGTTCTGTTCCCCGCTCTGTCCCTGGTGAATCCTCTCAGCCTCCCGCGCATCTGGCCTGTAACCCGGTTCTTGTATAAATAAGATAAATCTTTAAAAAAAGGTACTTTATAAAAAAAAAAAAATTCCCAGTCTAAGCGACTGTTCCCCCAATGGAGCCTTGGAGCAAGCATTTCACCACAATTTATTTTCCGCAACTGCAGCCTGATGCACATGTGCCCATCTTATGGCTGGTGTTGATATCACCACCAGTTACAGGGTTTGGAGGTGAGCTCAGGAGCTCTCCAGCCCGAGCGGATTGCTTCCCAGAACTTGGGGAGGCGACCTAAGGAAAAGATCCCATTGCCAAACAAGGGGAGCTCAGGCAACTTTATCCCCGGCCTCTGTGGCAGCTGGGGAGTGAGGTTCCGGCTGTAGAGTCGGAGCGGGCTGCTCATGTTGGTGGCGTCATCCATGCCCTGCAAAGCACTGCCGTTCCTGGTGGACTGCACCATGCAGGTGCTGTGCTGGGAGGTGTGGGAGGCAGCTGTGCTGGTGCTGGTGTGAGAATAACTGGGGGGGTAGGGGTGGTCCTGCTGGTCCAGGCAGATGGAGTTGGCGGCTTGCTCCAGGTAGTTGGCTGCGAGCCTTGGTAGGCTCAGTGACGATTTGGTGCAGAAGGCGTTGGTGGATCTGTCGAGGTAGTTGATGCCTTTGATGATTTGGTCCAGGAAGGTGGGGTTGGGGGTGACTGAGGGACGATCTGTACAGGGCAGGCTATGGCCAGCAGGTTTTCTGACCTCCCTGGAGTAGTTCATCAGGTGACTTGTCTCCACACACTTGGAGTTGTAGGGTCTGCCCATGCAGATCCTCCTCACTGGAAGTTTCGGGGAGCAGAGGTTGTAGGGTTTCTCTGAAGGGCTGTTGTAGCTGCTGTACTCCAAACCACTGGGGGTGCGGGGGCGCTTGAAGCTGTTAGCCCCGCTCAGGTTGGGATAGTGGGACCAGGCTGGAGTCCGGCCCTTAAAGGACTCAATGTTGGGACGGCCCAAATGGCTGTAGGTGTTGGAGCTACTGCCCTGGTGTCCAGACATGGTCCTGGCTGAGCAGGTGAAGCTTCGTGGCACTGAACTACTGTGCGTTCCCTGGAGCCTGGTTCCCTGGGCCTGGCGAGGGCAGAGTCGGGTCAGCATCCTCGGCTCCCTGCCACATTCCCCCAGCCTTTCTCTCTGGTCTTCCCTCTGCCTCTAGAGCATCGACACCACCCTCCTCCCTGTCCTCACCCTCCAAGATTTAGGGATTTTCAAATAGGACAACAGACACCCTATTCTTCAGGAGAACACAAAGGTCAAGGACAAATCTCTAATGGTGAAATTCCAGGCACTGAGGTAGGCCTTTCAAACTAGTTGTCAACCCCACAGTACCGCTGATTTCAGTGTCTTAGAAGCGCTACGGTGCAGACTCTGCTCTCCGTGCCCAGGCTTTCGCTTGCGTCTTACATGTAATTCTCACCCCAAAGCAAGGAGGTAGCTACTATTCTATTCCTACTTGACAGATGGGGAAACTGAGTCTCTGACAGATGCCGTGACTCGCCTCTGAACACATAGCATCTAAGTGGTGGCACCAGAGGGTACTATCTTGGGTGAGTTTAGATGACCCCTGAAAGACAATGCTATGTTGTCAGGGTGACTTTGCACCCCCTGTTCTCCCAGTCTGCTAAGGAAGAATTCTTATCATACCTGCTCTGCCCACCAGGATGGGGACACAGTAGGGAGAATTGAATGGAGAGGGACTCTTGTATAACTCTGTCACTAAATTGATCCTGAGTTTATGAACCCCAAATGACAGTGGCATTACAAATGCAGGTGGCATTACAGGTCTACAAATGGGACCAGACTTGTGTGATCAGAACCTTCAAGTATGTTTGGTCTTGTTCCTCTGACAGTAGGGGCTCACCTCACCCACCCCAGGAGGGGAGGGGGCATCAGGATTCCTTCTCCTCCTGCACCCAAAGTGGACATTTCACAGGGACAATGGCCTGATGAGGCCAAAGAGAACCCCAATCTATTGAACCCTCTAACCCCAAGGTCCCTTGCTTCCCCAATACCCATGCCCACCAGAAGGAGAATTGACTTCTCTCCCCCACTGCTGCCCACTGGATGCGAATTTTCCACTTCTGCCTCGAGAGCAGAGCAGTATCTGAGCCTGTCACACCCGGAGCACAGCTGCCTGTCTCGCCCAGCTCATGGCCCCTCAGCTGCCCTTGTCCTTTGGGTCTGACATGCGTGGAATGTCCAGACCCTGTCTCTTCCCTCCCTGGTCCCCGCCCACCCCATCCCCTCCTCCGAGGGTCCCACAGCCCAGCCCAGTCCTCCCTGGTCACGTGGCCCCGGGCCCTTTCCACTCTCACTCTGTCTTTAGGAGGTAGATGACTCAAGCCCTCCACTTGCGCTCCACTGGGGGCACCCTCACGAGTCACTCCAGACTGTTGGCCATGTCATAGAATCACGGAATCCTCTGCCTGGGAGGGGCCTCGGGGGTCAACCCAGTCAGGCCCCCGCCCCAGCCCCCATCCCTTTAAGTGCTCCAGGACAGATGGGTCCTATTTTTAAAATGAGACCGAGGAGGTGGGGATGCTTTCCAGTGTTCCCTGTTATTTTGGGGGTGTTTAATTATGCTAACTTAGAAGTCTAATATAACTCCTGTTGGCATCAATTACTTGTTTCTTCACTGGGTCAGTAGACATTCACCAAGTCCCCTGAAAGCGTCGTTCCTTTGAGTGACCCACCTCGGGCATGACTGCTTTCTCCCCTCCTGTCCCCCATCGAGTGACCACCAGAGCACGCCGAGTGCCTCGGGGCCCTGGGCTAGACACTGAGGATTCCTTCGGAAGCCCCGTGTCCTTCATAGGGGCTGATCCACAGGGGCCACTCAGCACATATTAATGAGTGAAGAATTTCCCCCCCCCCGGTGGCGCAGCGAGCGCTGCCCGCAGCCTCTGCAGTGCCGGTTCGATCCCCGGCTGCTCCCCGGCCACCGGAGGAGGGTCCCACATGGCGCGCAGACCTCTCCTGCCGCCCGCTGCTCCCCTCAGCAGTGTACTTCGGTCCTTCTGCCTGTTCTGCATCCTGCTCTGACTCTGGTGAATTCTCTCCCCCTCCCGCGCTTCTGACTGTACCCAGTGCTTGTATGAATAAATAAATAAATAAATAAAAAAAAAGAATTTCCCCTTTGAGTTTAAGTCTTAGAGCTATCACCCTATCACAGCTACCGCCTAAGTTCAATCCCCAGCCAGAGAGGTGACCCACAGGGCTCGGCAGACCCCTCCTGTCTCGCCCGCTGCTCCCCTCAGCAGTGTATTTCAGTAGATCTGTCTGTTCTGCTCCCCACTCTGTGTCTGGGGAATCCTCTCACCCCCCCACTCCTCTGGTCTGTACCCCAGTTCTTGTATGCATAAATAAATAAATCTTTTTTAAAAAGAGAAAGAAAAAATGTGCTTCTCCATCATTTTCTTCCCTTGAATACTGAAAATACACTTTCACTTTCTATTTTGGAAAAATGTTCAAACCTAATGAAACCATCTAAGAACATGACACCCACAAGCTCTGCATCCAGGGGCACTAATCATGAATAATTGCCACTTTAATGTCCCAGGCCCCAACACACACACACACACACACACAGATTATTCTCTTTTTTAAAAATTATGCCTTTTAGGGCCTCCCCGGTGGTGCAGCGGTTGAGCGCTGGGTTGCGAAGCTGCCCGCGGCCTCTGCGGCGCCGGTTCGATCCCCGGCTGCTCCCCGGCCACCGGCGGAGGATCCCACATGGCGCGCAGACCTCTCCTGCCGCCCGCTGCTCCCCTCAGCAGTGTACTTCCCTCCTTCTGCCTGCTCTGCTCCCCGCTCTGGCTCTGGTGAATTCTCTCACCCTCCCGCGCTTCTGACTGTACCCAGTGCATGTATAAACAAAACAAAAAAAACAAACAAACAAAACTAATAAATAAATAAATAAATAAATAAATTATGCCTTTTATTCTGGTTCTTTTTTTTTAAATGTATGCATGCAAGAACTGGGGTGTAGGCCAGAGGTACAGGGGGTGAGAGGATTCACCAGAAAGAGTGGGAAGCAGGACAGGCAGATCCAGTGAGATACACTGCTGAGGGGAGCAGTGGGCGAGACAGGAGAGGTTTGCTGTGCTATGTGGGTCAGCTCCCTGCCTAGGGTTCGAACTCATACCCCTGCACCACTAGGAAGGCCCCATACAGATTATTCTTATTCTGAGAGTAACTTGCAGGCCTTGGCATCTTTTGTCCCTGAACACTTCTGTATCTCCTGTCTGCTGCGAGAACAAGGTCATATGCTTTCATGGCCACACCGCGATGACAGGGCAGTTAACCTTGACCCAGTAGCACTAGCTGACCTACAGCCTGTATCCACATTTCACCCACCCTCCCACTGCTGTTCCTCGAGGCATCCGTTTTCCACTCCAGGCTCAGGCGCTGCCTCTCTTGCTCACGTCTCACCCACCTCGAAAAACTGGATCCCGCCTCAGTCTCTTTTATGAAGACAGAAGTGCCAGAGAGCTGTTCTGGAGAATGCTCTCTAGTTTGGGCTTATCTGATGTTTCCTGATGATGAGATCCAGGGTCACAAAGCACTGTAACACAGAACTCTCCTTGTGGGTCCCCTGCCCCATAATCACTGAGTGAAGGGCCTTCTGCTCTAGGGTGTGGTGGTTATGGTGACTAAAATAGGGAACCAAGAGAAGGAATCAGACCCCTCCCCACCTGCCACCCTGTCCCAGAAGAAGTGGAATGTGGGGGACTCAGTGGACCAGGGAAGCTGTGTCAGCAGTTCCCTCGTGGGGCCAGAGCCAGGCCTAGCTCTGTGCTGGGCCTGGGCCTGGGGCTGGGCAGGCAGGCAGCCAGCCAGCGACAGGGCCGGGCCTCTGGGCCATTTGACCTGAAGGTACCCAGGCATCGAGATCACTGGCCGTTTCTGGCCTGGGCACTAAGAGCCTCTGGAAATAGCTCTAGGACAATTATTTCAGGAAGAGTGTGCTATTCTCCTCCTTCCCAGAAAGCCAGGCTGGGTCCTCTAAGATCAGAAATGTCTCTTCCCAACCACTTCAGCTTCAGGGGGCCGCGGAGGTCTTTAGGCCTACGAGGGGCTGGGAGTCTGCCCGCCTGGGGTGGGGTCAGGGGACACACAGCCCCATCCCTACAGGGGGGAGGGGTGGTTCTGTCCTCATGTCCTGCGTTGCAGGGCCCAGGCTGGAGTCAGGCGGGCAGGGCAGGCTGAGGTCCAGCTGACTCCAAGCCTGGGACACATGACGGTGGGACACCTGCCCCATCTCTTGCGCTGGCCCATCCTTGAGAAACCGTCACGGGTGGAGGGAGCACATACTATGTGCCAGAGAATCTGACATTGTGGGTGCCAGGCCCTTCACCCACACCCTCTCATTTAATCTTCACAGCACCCCTAAGGGGTAGGTAGTTTGTTTTCCAGAGGAGGTCATTGAGGTTCAGAGAGGGCAAGAGACTTGCCCAAGCTCACCCAGCAGCCGGCCTTATAAGCCAGACTTCTGGTTCTAGAAACTAAGGCTGTCCCCTGGTGGTGCAGCGTTTGAGTGCTGGGCTGCAAAGCTGCCCACAGCCTCTGTAGTGCCGGTTCGATCCCCGGCTGCCGGCGAGGGTCCCACATGGCTCGACAGACCTCTCCTGCCGCCCGCTGCTCCCCTCACCAGTGTATTTCATCAGTCTGCCTGTTCTGCTCCCTGCTCTGGCTCTGGTGTATTCTCTCACCCTCCCGCACTTCTGACTGTACCCAGTGCTTGCATAAATAAATAAATAAATAAACAATAGAAACTAAGGCTTAAGAGCTAAGTGAGGAAGAGGGTGTACCGCCCCTCCTCTCGGTGAGGACTCAGTGACTCTGTGAGCTGAGTGGCATTACAGGGGTCCAGCCTGGAGACATAGTCTGGTGGCAGCTGGAATCCCATCCCCTACTGAGACTCTTCCGCTCCCACCCTGCCAAGGCCAGCTGCCTCTCTCTCCTCAGCACTGCAGGGAGGGCTGCCAGGGCTCCTTAGCTCCATCCCGAATCAGCTGCTAATTGTGGGCTTTCCATCAGCTTTATCCCTCCTACTCTCCCCCCTTCTTCCCTTTCCCTGAAGTCCTACTCACATTCTTGTCCTCTCCTGTGCCCCACCAAGTAGGAGCCCTGTCCCCACCCGAAACTCACAGAATTTCTCCCGGGATCCCACAGAATGAAGGAACAGCCCCCTTCTCCAGAGATCTTAAGACCCTGCCCCACAGCACACAGGTTGCTCTCTAACCTCTCACCTATCGATAACTATCCCCTGGGCCTGAGTGGATGTCCCCCTAGGACGCCATGCAGATAAGGAGCAAGCCTAGCTCAGCAGCCACAGATGTGAGACACCCACATCAAGCCAGGAGACAGAGCCAAGAGCCCAAACTTTCGAAATTTCAGCTCTCCGCCCTGCCTAGAAGACTTATGTCCCAGCCTCAGGCTACTGTTGGCAGCATGACTCACCCAGGACCTTATCTGGTGTGGGACCAGCAGCCTGCAGGGCTGCAATTCCCCCCTGGGCTGGGATTCTGGCCCTCCCTTGCTACAGCCTTTCCCCCACCCAAGCACAATGAGTCACACACCTCATCCCTTAACACCCACAAGGATAAGGGCCCTCTGCTCACCAGCTGCCAGAACACTTTCCTGAGCCCACATGTGGCAGGCACAAGCCAGGACAGATCTGTGCTCTGGAGTACTGGAGCAGGTGTGACTTGGCAGGAGCCCCAGCCAGGAACTTCCCTTCTGCCAAGCCACCTCGGGGCTTTGGGAGTAGATCAGCCAATCTGGGAAGGGACAAAGTTCCCATCTTTATGGGGCCTGGGAAATTCCCTCTAAGGAGTGCGGGGGGTGATGGTCTTGGGCAGGATTATGCACCGCCTTGCTGAGAGAAGACGTCAGAAATGGGATAGCAAGCAACATGCGCTTGACCTTGGGTGACAAGTTGAACTTCTCCAAACCTCAATCTCTTGTTCTGTGAAATGGGGCTAAGGGGGTGCCCGGTGAACACTGCTGACTTGCAATAAGCTAGTGTTTATGAGATACCCCTCCCCATGTTCCAGGCACAGGGGAGCTGCAGTGGTGTGTAGGAGCCACCTGAGAGTCCATTGTTAAATAGTCAGGGATTTGGTGAACTGGTTGTTAAACCACTGGCAACTTGAAATCAGCCACAGTGGGAATATTTACACCACAGGCATTGGCAAATGCAA